TTGAGTTGTATGCTAGCCACTGAGCACTAGATGCTATGTGTGTTACGATGGAAAGAAGCAGAAAACATTCTCCCATTGTACAGATGGAAACACCGAGGCTCCGAGAAACTGGCTGCGCAACATCTTCCTCCCAGACGGGTGGTGGTGTTACAAAGCCCACATCTCACTGTGACTTGCACCCTAGCTTCACAGCCCGCGAGCCGCCTGCCTTCCGCATCCCACACAGCCCTGGCCTAGCAGAGCGCCTGATGACAGCTCGACTCTCTTTCCACCCCACCCTTCACACCACCTTTGTCAAGGGGAGGTCAGCTCATGCCGCCTCTGTACTTCAGCTCGCGCTGGGGTCCCTCCCAGTCCTCAGGCCTGAGCCTGAGCTCACAGGCCCCACACCCTCTGCTGCCGCCGTTCCCCAGCCCCCCGGGTCCTTCAAGTGCCAGTGTGACGTCGGACACGTCCACATCCGTCAGGAAAGCAGGTAGGCCCCCTTGGAGTATGGCCCAGGCGTTAACTCCCTAGGACCCTGCGTGGCTTCTCTAGGAACAAGTACGTTCTCCCAACTGTGGACTCACGATGCTCTATTGCTTTGCACATATCATCCTCAATTAAATGCTTAAACATGAACAGCTTTGTGGCAAAATTCTATAGTTCCATACTATATCTATGTCTGGCATGTAGTAGTTGACCCAAAAAATATGTTACATAAATACACAAAATTATACATTTAAGTGTATGAATGACATTTGCAGTAATTTATTCAACAATATATTTCATTTAAGAAAGACATTTATTTCCTCTAGGTATAAGTTAACCACCCTCCCTTCACTTGTGCCTATAAGAAGTAGGATGAGAAACAATGAAGAAAACAGACAACCTCAACGCAGTGACTTCCAGCCTGCGGGTCTGCAGAGAGCAAAGACGGAGGCTCAAGGAGGCTCACACAGGAGGCATGTTTGACGGAAAGGGCCAAGGGCAGGGCGTGTGAGCCAATGCATGGGATTTCATGACAAATTGGAACACATGCGCTCACCAGGAAACTAAGTGAAAAATTGTGGCATAAATTGAAAGGTAAATCTTCCTACCACCTTTGACCACCCCCCTCCCCGCCAGTAAAACACAAAACTGAAAATGTGTGAATGTATACATACCCTAATATTGAACATGGTCCAGAAAGTTCTGCACCCTCTCTTCACATGAGGTCATCCCATGTGAGCTTCTTATGTATCACAAACAGGAGAACCAGCCCCGCCACGGCGTGACCGCCACTTCTTCACGGACAAGCTGCACCCAGTGCCTGGCGCACAGAGCCCGCTTTGTGCTGAGGGCTGGGAATGCAACCAGAGGCCCTGCGTGCCGCGCTGACACCAGACAGCTCTGGACAAAGCTCTGAGCGGAGAAGGAAGGGCCCTGGGATGTGCCATCTCAAGTCCAGAAGCGACATGTCTCCACTGTTCAGGGATTAGCTGCCTGCCAGCAGGTCTCCCTTTCCCAAGATATTGGGGAGGCCACCAACCTGCATTCTTTTTAGCACTAAACCCCCAGGGCCCGTGGGTGAAGCCCGGACACTTCTGTCCGATAGAAAGGCAGCTCACTGCCCGACTCAAAACCAGCACAGCGGCTTGGCTGACCTTCCTGCCTTTTCGAGAACTAAATTTAATTCCTTATATGCTTTGTATCTCATTTAATCCTTATAGCAGTCCCATTAAGGAGGAATTATGATGACTATTTAACTGACAGGGAAACTGAGGTTCGGATCCAAGGAGTTGGATAACTTCTCCAGCGTCACATAGATAGTGACAGAATTAGGATTTGTTCTCTGGTGAGACTGCCTCCAACTCTTATTAACCCAAATTTCTGCTTGACATTAAACTACTGGTGGGACTAGCAGACTTTTCTTCACTGCTTAGGGCAACATGGCAGGAGCATACAACTGTAGATGGTGTTTCTAACATTTTTCTTTTGCTCATTTCCTCCTGTCCTGATCTATTCTGAGATAATTTATTAATCATCAAAGTACTACTTTAAAGATACGTGCAGTCTAGCAAATCATTTCTGTGGAAAATGTCAATTAATGTTCTGCATTTTGACTAAATGATCCACTAATTCACATCCCCAAAAAGATAAAAAGTTTGAGGCATTCATAGAATAGCCTTTTAAAACTTGCCCTGTGACATCACTCACTTCCTTCTCCAAGATTCGCCCCCTTTTCACGCTTCTGATCCACGATAATGCAACTTGAAACAATTCTCTTTTGCATTTGGTGTTTTACTGCATACGTTCCCTATATTTTTGTTTTGGCGTTAGAGACTTCTGGGAAAGCCAGAAGGGTCACTTCTGTCCAAGCTGCGTGGCGTGGCCTTGCACCACGGCTTGTCCCTGCGCTGCGGCGCTGACTCCTGACACTCACTAGTCACTCTGTGAGGTGTACCCTCTTTTGGTTTGAGGGTTTGACACACACAACTCCCTGTGGCTCCAAGTGGAATGACACTCTTGGATAATGGTTTTAATTAGATTTTATGTCCCACATAACTTTCAGGATGATTTCAGGATATTCCTTGGCAGGCAGGTTGATATAAGCATGAAAAGTAATAGAAAATCGTCTCCTCTTTAAATAGGATGGGTTTTCCTTGTGTGCCACCCCGACTGCCACAGATGTAACAAACCTGCTCTCTTCAGCCTCCTGATAGGCTCTGTGCACCTTCTGTCTCAGCTCAAGCCTCACTGCTGAGCTTGCGCACCAGCCAAGCGTTGGTCTGTGGAGTCGAGGTGCCTGGGGACAGTGACTTTAGACTACTGCATGAGCGTGCAAGGAGCGCAGTTTGAAAAGAGTAAGAGTTAGAGTCTGTTTCCCAAAGTGACCGGCCACTGAGGAACCGCTCATTCAGACGCTAACCGCTGGCGGGCAAGCCCCTGAGGACCAGGCCCCTGCTGCACGTCCTGTCCGGTTTCCCCACACGAGGCCACGCCCCCTCGTCTCCGCGCGGCCGGGGGCTGTTCCAGCAAAACAGCGGCGTGGGGAGCCGCTTCTGAGACCCCGGGCCCACTCGGAGCTACGCCCTAATGGTGATGTGCACATTTTCATTCTGTGGACGATCATGGGAAAACGTATACTTTGTTCTCAGTAGCCGCTGTGAGGAGATATTAGTGTTCCCATTTTGGAATGCTGATCTCTTTCTTTTAATCCACTGTTTTATTTCATCATCCATGGACAAAGCACTTACGATGTGCAGCAAATAAATACTGATTATTCCTGAGGGCCAAACCCTCATCGTTAAGGAGTAAAAAATACCCAGAAATCAGAGTTATCAATACGGCCAGCGTCTGTGCAGCTCTCTCCTGCTGACTGTCATGTGCTGTCACCCAGCTTGACACCTGAGCAGCCGCTGACCTGCAGTGTGGCCCAAGGGAGACAGCACCCTGGCTGTCAGGACGGCCGGCGCACTGGGCCGGAGGCCTGCGGGGACGCCCGTGGCTGCCCTGCATGTCCACCCCGGGGGAGGCTGCCCCTCCAGGGCCCGCTGTGCGGTGAGAGACAGGCCACGTGTGGCCGGGAATGGACAGACTGGTGCTGCCCGCTGAGACCGCGGGGCCTCTTCCTCTCTCTGAACAGCCCCGACGTGCTTGTCCACCCTGAAAACCAGATGTGTTGCCACAACTAAGAGCCTATTTAAGGCCACGCTTGTCAAGCAGAGACATGGGTTTTTCTGTGAAAACTAGCTTATTGTCTCATTGTGTTTATTTAATTCACAGTGAGATTTGTATATGAATGCTTTGTAGTAAACTATGTTGGTGACTGTTTAACGTCATACCAGAAATGTCAATTCAACAAATCCATGTTTAAATATTAAACTCTTATTATAATCCATTACTTTTTAACTTACGACTACAAGTATATGAGATTAGATAAAACATGATAGCCTATATACATAGAACACCTACAGCCCAGAAACTTTAACCAACTTGAAACTCAAGTATGAGTTTAACCCTCACTATGAGCAGGCTTTATATTTTTTAATTCCCGGGAAATGACTCTTAAGCATAACGCCGTCCCCAAACCCAACCACGGAGTGCAGGGAACCCCTCCAGGGCAGTGAGCGGGGTGCCGATGAGAGAACCGTGCGGGCCGCTGTGACCTGCTATACCCGGTCACGACGCTCCGGAAGACTGCAGTGCCCACAGGGCCACAGCATGTGGGGGACAGGCCCAGACTAACTTCCGTGTGGCAGGAAGTGGGCCCACTGTCAGACGGGCAAATGGGGCAGTCGACAGACCAACACATGACTATCACACAGTGCACCTCAAAAGACAGGCCAGGGTTTTCCTCATAGAACACCCGAAGAAATCAGCATTTCACCAGCAAAGTCACGTGTGTGAATGGGCCTCCCCAGAGCGGGCACTGAGCTCACCAGCAGGGCTTCCCGAGGGAGAACATGCACAGGCACAGAAGCGGGGACTGGGCACAGGTGAGGCTTCCATCACGTTACAGCCACGCTGACCGCCAGCGCATCAGATTCCCTAAAAAATGTGCTGCCTGGGCAGCAACCATTTGGCGTTGCCCACACCCACCCTAGACCGCAGACCCCACGCAGCACCCTTGCCTAACAGTAAATGACTAACTTTGGTAACCAGTTACTTTTGCAGCAAGTTCTGGGTGGGTTCTGTTTGCAGGGATTCAACATAAAACATTCCTGCTTGAGGCCTGGTGTCCTCTTCCCCACTGGCATCCTGAGGACCCTCATGGGACCCAGGGGACGCACATCTTCTCTATTCCCTTCCCTACGGGGCTTCAGCAGCAAGAACCACATAGGCATCATCTAATTTAACTGCAAATGGCTCTTTTTGATGTGAATGCACAACAGAACCCCTGACGACCTCCCAGAGCCAGGAGGCACCAGGAAGCAGGGCAGTGAGGAGCAACAGGAGAGACTGGAGCAGCAGGCGGGGGCCCAGGGAGAGGACCCTGTGCTCAGTCCCGCAAGAGTGGGACAGCGGGGGGCAGGTACCTGAACCCGGTTGTCGCCTGGTGAGCGCTCTCTGCGACAGACGTGGCTGCCTCAGTCAGTCAGGGCTGGGAGTTCAGAGGTGCCGGCTGGAAGCGATTTCACCAATTCTCCTTCCGGCTCATTTTCTAAAGGACAAAACAACATCACAATGACCACCTGAAGAGAGGGACGAGAGCTCCCTCCTTGGTGCCACTGCACTTACGATCAGGAGTGATGTTTCGGGCCAGGTCGCTAACTGCACAGTGAGAAATGCGTACAGGGCCCCAGGCTGAAGCGTTGATGGGGAGGCCAGGACGAACTTGCGGACAGGCTTCCAAGCACTGGGTTTCTTCACTTTGAAAACTCACGATATTTAAATTTTAAATACGTGTCTAGGTTTGAAGCTCCAACTAAGTGCACTTAATATTTAGATGGGCCCATTACCAGCCAATTTGTAAGACTGCTGTCTTTAACACTTTGATGCAGTTTAAGAAACAAGTTAATACATGAGAAATATTTTGGATGTGTAATTATTTCTTGGAAATATGATTTCATTCATAACAGAATATAATCTGGAGATGACAAGGGTGGTTCCCAATATCAGCTCCATTTTATTTTAGTAGAAAAATTAGAAAAGACATTATCTTAATTAATTTAAACTAGAATTTATTTACTAACCTTCCATCAAGACTCTCCCTGATATTGTGTCAATGTTAGGAACTACTAACTGTTCTAATTGGAAAAGAAAGTGCCCAGATTATTTCAAACTATACTGCCTAAGAGAGGATTTATTTTCATTTCAAAGGAAAGATGAACTGGAATAACCGAAAGTGGAGAAGGAGGTGCCTCAGCAGTGGAAGCTATTGTTTCTGGCACAAACCTCGGAACTCAGAGGCACTCATTAAAGGGAGTCTGTGGCAACAGCAGCCGAAGTGTTAATGGGCAGCAGTGAAGTGTGTCAGGCAAATGCAGGACCCCGAGGGCTCTGCATGCTGTTTGTGATCGGCCACCGCAGCAGCATTACCACACACCCTCTAAAAGACACTGCACCGTGCCTTCTGTGTGCTGCCTCGCCATGAAGAGAGTGTTTGGGGGCTTGGCAGGGGGGTGTGAGATAAGATAACACGCAATTTCCTATGAAAAGCACAGCCTATAAAATGCAACCCTAACAAATTTTATTATTTTCCTAACACAGGTTTACCACATCAAGCACATAAAGAACAGAATAATTCACAAATATGCACATGGAGCTAAAAAGATTTTAAAATTACCCTGAAATATCATGGTTAAAAAATAGAATGAGAGTTAATATGGTTGTTTTGTGTCAAAGTCTAGATTCATTAGAGTTATTTTATAAGATTTTAAAATATATTAAGCTTTTAATGCAAATTGTGGTTTGCGATTTTATTTACAGCAAATACAGATATCTATACTCAGAAATCTTGAGAGCAATGTGTTTTGTGGCCTTTCCCTGTTTACCAGTACTCAGGGCACACACACACATGTGCACACCAACAGGCCTACATGCATGCACACACACGTGCAGAATGTGTAGACATGCAATGTCGGCAGGAAATCCTTCTCACCACTAGTTGTTCTATTCACAGTGTGATTTGTCCATTTAACTTCAGTACGACCAAGGCAAACGCCCCAACCATCTCCTATCAGATGCACCCCTGCAACGCCCCTGGATTCAGAAGTGTGCCCGCTGTGCAGGCCGGGACACGGCGGTGCCTCGTCCAGCCCCGGCCCAGCAGAGCGCGGAGCCCAGAGCCCGGGCCTTACAGGAGCAGCAGCAAGGGCCACAGCGGCGCCGTCCCACACAGGGAGGGCTCACAAGCAGCAGTGTGTCTTCAGAGGACACTCTCTGCCACCCAACCTCCCTGGAGCACGAGCCTGCTCTCCATCAGGGTCTACCCTGACGGCGGCATCAACGCCTGGACATCACTGACTTTGAAATCATAACATAATGGTTTAAAGATACAGAGAGTTACACATACGCATTATTTCTAGATTGGCAAGCCCGCCTCAGCCAACACTGGTGTGGGTATTTCTGGAGCCACTGAACTACCGTGGGGTTCAGCTTTCCCTCTGACAGTAACAGGGCCGAGCTGACAGAGTATTTCCTTCAGCCCCCAAGTCCCCAAACACCTCCATCCTCGATGCCCTGCGAGGCGCCTGACATGGCTTCCTGCCCGGTGAACCCCCGGCACGAGGTGTGTGCTCCTCCTGTCTCTGAACGGGCTCAGAGCCTCTCTCTGCCTGCCCGCACGGGCCACAGTCCCAGCTTCCGAGGTCGGCCGACCGACCCTGGGAGCCGCTTTCCAGGGGCCTGTGGCCTTAGTGCCTCCCACAGGGCATGGCCCGACCCCTGGCCCCAGAGCAAGAGGAAGCTGCGACTTCCCCAGCAGGCGTCAGCACACGGAGGTGTGGGCATTCCCGCCCCTGCCACCATTGTTTCCTGACATGTCTTATGTTAAATCATCCTTTCGATGAACTGAGCTGTGCTTACCCAACACACGTGTGCCTTCTTGGCCAACCCCGCTGCAGGGTTATGCACCAGCAGACATGTTTCCTCCTTTTTTCCCCCCTAAGAAGTTCTACATGAGACTGTCTAAAAAAATGAGGGACAGTCTTGACACCGAACAGGAGGAGCCAGGTGCTGCCCATCGGCATGTCAGAGGCTACTTCTCTGGCCGTGGGCAGCCTCTGGGCGCCCAGCTGCAGCCCCGGGGCCTGACCGCACGGCCCCCCACACCCCGCCTCTGGAAGAGAACTGTGGCTCTGTGGGCTAAAGTGGGGTGCTGGGCGGTGCCGGAGCAGATCTGCCGGTGCGATGCCATTGGTAGTCCCGCCCTCGACGCCAGTTCACAGATTCAAGCTCGGCGGCAGGTGGGGACGGACCGCGGGGGCCAGGCATGAGGCTGGTTCCCGCCGGCCCCCCTGCCTCCGCAACGGGCTGCTTTCCTCCATGCCCAGTAGAGCCCCTTATAGTGAGGGCACCCCTGCTCCCAGTCTTTGCCCCAGAAACGCCTGGAGAGGACAGTCCATTTCCAGCGGGCTTGACACTCAGAACATGTGCACTTTTGGTTTCCAGTGAAAACAAAAATGATCATTTTCAGAAGACAAAGATAAGAGGAAATATATAATAAAACACGTAAATGAATGAGGATATCTTAAGAATAATAGGAAGTCAGAAGAACATACACAAATTTTTAAATCACCTTCAGGTCACTGCAAATACTTAGCACCTATCTTTCCTGCGATTTGAATCTAAGCCCTCGCACAGGTTTGCCTGGTGACTTCATTGCTGAGTGTCGGGATGCGCTTTTGACAAGACGACCCAAACTTCTCCCCTGCACATGGCCTTTCCAATCTCAGTATTTCCCAGTGGCACCCGAACCTCTCAGCAGGGAACCACTGGTCCAGCGCATTAACTGACAGCATAAAGCGTACCAGGAAGTGCAATTTGTCATTTGCAGCTTTTATAGATCAAACGTCGCATGCACAACCCACCCTCCAGCTACCCTCTGATTACTAGGTAGTCCCGCGCTTAGACCTGTCACTGAGTCCACCGACTCACTGGTTCTCGGGAGGGAAACGCAGTCCCCACCATGGGCGGTCAGGGGGAGCCCCACGGGCTCCCTGCGCGGAGGAAGGCGCCGAGGCAGCAGCCCGTCCGTGGCTGGCGGCGGCCGGTGAGCAGAGCTCGGCCCGGGCCGTGCGGGGGTGGAGGAGCAGGCTGGCTGTAAGAAATGCGGCAGCGTGGGTGACAGTTCACAATGCACAGGCCTTCCCCGAACACTCCTACACAGAACATCACTCAATGCGGTGCAGTGTCCGATCAAAAATGGGAAACCTCAGCGGCAGGCCAGTTGGGCTATTATCCAGGATTGTCGAGTGCGTCTCGATAGGGCAGAGTAGAACGTCCAAGATGCAGAACGAAGAGAGGAAGGGACGGTGCGGAGTGACATGCAGTTATCCCCCAGGGCACACACAGTGCACCTCGAGGACCTGACAATGTGGTTCACACTCACTTGTGCACACGTGAGTGCAAGGGCATTTAGAATGTAGTTCGTATTCATATGCATGCGCACACATGAGTACCTGGATGTTTAGAATGCAGTTCGTATTCACACATGTGCACACACGAGTACATGAACATTTAAAATGTAGCTAACAGTCACATGTGTGTGCATGTGAGTACCTGGATGTTTAGAATGTAGTTCCTATTCACATGTGTGCACACGAGTACACAGACAACATTTAGGATGGGTTGAGATCCAATGGTTAACAGAGATTACCTTGAGAAAAAAGGAGCGGGATTTTGAGGATTAAGAAGGACTTTCATGTTTTGCCTTAAGTATTTGTAATTGTTTATATTTTAGTAATAAAGCAAATTCATGTAACATATTTACAATAATAAAATATACTGAGAAATATCATTTCACATCTATTACTACTTTTAGAAGTTATGTATCAATTGCTATAAAGAATGACTAATAAATTCTGGTTAAAAATTACACTTCCAAAATCACACAATAATTACAAGCAACTTTAAACTCTCCAGAACCCAAACCATTCACTGCTCACAGCGCATTTGTGACTGCTTCTGGGATCTGCTGACTGTTTACACACCATCAACAATGCTACATGAAATCACATTTAGGCCCAATTAGATCATCTTAGCTCATTAGGAAATATTCTTCCAGATTAAGCAAAATGATATAGAAAGGCCGTTAAACGTGGAGGCAATTAAAGCAAAGGCCACTCAGCGCTGTGCCGGGGGGAGGGCTGTTTGGACAGCACCTGCCCCCCAGCGCCGGAGCCGGCCCCAGGGCCACAGGCAGCGTGGGCCATGGCGCGCCCACCTTGTCAGGCTGGCTGTGAGCGGACAGGCACTTGTGCGGAGTTAGACTCTGTCACCAGGCCACAGCCCAACACCACGCACGGGGGAACGGCTCGCAGAGTCTCTGAATGTTGGAATGGAAGCAACTGTAAAGGTCGTGTAGCCTGCCCTGTTTGAAGACTTGGACACTGAAGTCCCGAGAAGCTAAGGAACTTGCTTGAGGCGACGTGGAAATGAAGAGCCGATCCAGGACAAGGCCCCTCCGTGCACTGTGTGAAAACCA